ATATTTGTGGAATATACTATCATATATATTCTATTCTAAACTATATTTTGTTGGTGTGTTTATCACACAGCTTTATATCATATCATATGATATATATTATATGATAATATATAATATTATATTACAGGCATTACATATTATATTATATTATATATTTTGTTGGTGTGTTTATCACACAGCTTTCCAGCTCTTAGACTGTCCCCTTCGCCCCCCCCAGCCTCCACCCCCTCAACATGGAAGCTGTCTGGGGGGGCATTATGCAAATCACAAGACAATTAGCATCTAGCAATCAGTTGGTTTCTGTCCCCATGGCTGTGTGGGACTGCATTGGGTTCATGCCTTGCTCCATCCAGCAATAAAGATCTGGGGCCAGGCTCAGGGTGACCCATGGTCAGGGCCGGGACTGCGCTTGCCACGTTCATGCAGCACCTGGCGCCTGGGCACTGGCAGCAACGCGCGTGCAATGGCTGCGGGGGGCTCTGAATCGGTGCCTGACACTGATGCCCTCAGCCAGCATCTGAGGCCAGTACCCGAGCGGGGCAGCTCCCAGCACAAACAGGGAGAGGGGCAGGTGGGAAGAGCCCCTGCTCTGCTGGGCACACGGGCAGCGCAAGGGTTACAGCGGAGCAGAGCCGGCGCCTGCCGCCCAGGTCCACCCGGGAGAGGAAACGTGCACAGGATCTGGAAATAGGAAAGGCCTGCATGGCCCCGCGCAGGGGAGCAGAGCGGAGCTGGGGCCCCAGTGCCACATCCCCGCACCCAGGGGGCGTTTGGATGGTCGAGGCTGGGGGGGGCACTGCCGGATTGCCCCCTGGGGATTCCCCCAAGCCCATAGCCCGTGGCTTGGATCAGGTGCTGCAGGGCAAATCCCATCACCTCGCGGGGATGGAGAAGGCAAGTGGCTTCTGCACAGGGCAGGACGAGGGCACGTGGGTCTCGAGATGCCCCGTGTCCTGGCCCCCCAGGCATCCCCGCACCCCACTGCCCCGGCCTGGCCCCCCTGCTGTAGGGGGCGTGGGAAAATCCAGTGCATCCTCCCCGCGCTGCGGCCATGGGGACGGGGCTCCGGAGGGATCGGGGGCTATCATGTGTTTCCATCCCAGGCACACCCCAGTGCCCAGCCCACAGCAGGGCTGCCAGGGGGGTGCTGGATCCTGGGGGCAGGGAAATCTCCTCTGCGCTCCAGCCGGACACTCGCCTGGTAACCCCAGGCAGACGCGGCTCATTGTTCCCGCTGTAAACAGGATGCGTCTCCGGCCTTCCTGTTTCCGACGGAACCAAAGCCCCCGCTGCCCGCAGCTGCAAGGGGCACTTGCCGTTGCCAGTGCTGTCCTTCCCTTCCTGCCCTAACCAGCGCCGTGGCAGGCTGGCACGTTGCACCCTGCCCTGACCCCCATTGCACAGCCCGCAGGACCCAGCCGGAGTGCGCAGCACCCCTGGACCAGAACTGCGGGGCTCTGCCCTGGCACAAGCGACCAGGCAGCGGGGTGCCAGGCCCGTCTCCAAAGTGCAACTGGGTTGGGGGGACGGGGGCGTGAGCCATGCCTGGTTCTCGGGGGTCCCGGCTGCAGGGCAAGCTGGACCCGGTTGCTGAGAGGGCGGAGGAGGCCGATGTGGCGGACACGGACGAGCAGGACATCCTGCGCTACGAGGAGCGCATCACGCAGCTGCTGGTGACCATCACCCACCTCCACAACAAGGTCGAGCGGCTGCAGCAGCGCGGAGCCAGGTACCGGCTGGAGGCTGCAGCCCCGTGGCCCGTTCACATGCCAGGGAGCAGCCCCAGCCCTGCGTGGGTCACCCCCTCTCCATAGGAGCCTCACTGGGCACCCCTCCTTCCCTAGGCAGCTGTGCTCGTCCCTGCTGCATCTTGCCCCCTCGACTGCCTGCGCACGGCCCCTAGCATCCAGCTGGCAGAGGGCGCCAAGGCTGCCACCTGCTCCATCACGGTGGCAGCATCCGATTCCTTAGCCCTGGTCTGAAGGCTGAGTCCTGCCTGCGTCATGTAGCAGGGACCTGGGTTTCCTCTTGGATGCCCAGCATGCGAAATGGGGGGGGAACAAAGCAGGGATTGTCTCCAGGGCCCCCCCTCGTGCCCACGGACTGGTACGGGCAGGGCTGACTTGGCCCTGCTGCCTTCTTGGCCTCTTGCCCCTCGGTAACTGGAGAAGAGGGCACGGTGTTTTACCTCCCTACACGCCTGCTCCGGTGAGCAGGACTTGGCTGCGCGTCCAGTGTCCTGGGAGTGGGGAGGTTGCTGGTTGTGGCCACGTTGGTCTAAGGACATGGGCAGTGGGTTGATGGGATCTCTTTTATTAGACCAACTCAATAGTTGGGGGAAAAAGTTCTTTGCAAGCTTTTGGGCACAAACACCCTTCTTGAGGCATCAGGAGACTGGGAGTGGGAACTCCCTCGGACCCCCTGGCTCCCAGGGTCTCCCCATCTCAGGGGGATCCATGTCCAGGCTGCTACCACCGCGATGGCTCTGGGGGACATGGAGTCCCGGTTATGGAGTCGGCCTCCCTCCCCCGGGGCTTGGGTGTCTTGCAGGGAGGACGAGGAGTACTCGGACCAGTGCTCAGAGTACACAGCCAGCCTGCCCAGGCATGCACCGCAGCCCCTGCCCCCCCAGCTCCCGCCCCCCAGAGAAGGTAAGGGGGGCTCTGCTAAGCCCCCTCTGTGCATCTTGCCAGGGCAGTGCCACCCAGGGCCGGAGCACTGGGTTCGGCCCCTCCCAGCTCCACCCCTGGACACAGCTGCGTGTTGGAGGGGGGGCTCTGCGGTGGCTCGTGCACCTACTCCACAGAGCCAGCCCCTCCCGGCTCAGGTGCCCGACTGGCCCCAGGACTCAGGGCATGCTCAGCCCCTGCGAGGGTCATGGTGCAGCACGGCCTTGGTGTAGCCTGGCTTAGCCCCTGGTCAGCCGGCTGGATGCAGGGGCCGGTGGTCCAGCCCTGATGATCTGGGGTCCTCTCCTGCCCCCAGCAATGGTCTGCGCATGCAGGGAACAAGGAGCAACATCCCCTTCCCGGCACAAAGATCCGCGCTGGGACTTGCACCTGGGTGACAGAGGGCAGAAGGGCACAGGCCCCCTCGCCTCCCTGCATCCCCTCTGCCCTTGCAGGCGTCGGCCCCGACATGTTCCTGGCCCTGCAGCAGGTGCTGGCATCTCTGGAGCACACCGTGTTCGCCCGGCGCCACTGCGCACTGCGGCTCGCTGGGGCTGGAGCGGAGACGGGCACGGGCGGCAAGGAGTGGGCCCAGGTGGTGGAGGTGAGTGGGTGCCAGGAGCCGCCCCCATCTTCCTGAGCCCCCAGCCCTGCCTGCAGCTCCCCACTTCCCACCTGCTTCCTGCAGCTCCATAGGGGCTCCCTCCTCCTGCAACAGGGCAGCTTGGCCCTTGCCTGGTCCTATGCCCAGGTGAGACCCCCAGCTCCTGGCATAGTGCAGCTGCCTCAAGGGCTCTGCTGTGTTTCTACAGACCCTGGAAGAGCTCGAGCGAGGCCTGGGGCTGTCCCCGGGGCTCGAGATGGCAGCTGTCCAGGCACCGGGGGAGAGGGTGGCTGAGCTGAGCCCAGAGCTTGGGGCAGCGGAGACCAGCTGGTATGGGAAGGAAGCGGCCACGCTGGCTGAGAGGAACATGGCGCTGCGGGCAACGCTGGGCAGCAAGGAACAGGAGCTGAGCCGTGCCCAGGTGACCCTGCAGGCTCTCCAGGAGGAGCGCGACAGGCTCCAGAGGAAGGTGGGTGGCACCGGGACGCCCCCTCCCCTGCCCACGGGGCATCTCAGCTGCCCCGGGCACGTGGGCACCTCTGGGGGGGACGACAGCAGGAGGCGGGGGAACCTACAGTCAGGTGCAGTGGGTCCAACATCAGCCCTCCTGAGACGGGCACTGGAGGCTCCGAGACCCATGCAGACCAGAGGGGACTGCCCCGGGAGCATCTGAGCAGGACCACCCAGCTCCAGGCACCGTGGTGATACCTGCGGTTTGGCCCCGAGGTGCCCTGCGTGCCAGGCTGGGCTCCCCCTGGTAAACACCACAGACAAAGCCGGCGCTCGAGCCATGCGGAGGGCAGCGCAGCGGTCTCGGTTGCTCACCGTTTCCTGTGGGAGAGCACCTGTGATGAGCCAGAGGGCGGCTGCCTGCCCTTTCCCGGCCTCAGGCGCAGGGTGGGCTTGGCCGTTCCTTCGGGGGAGCGGGGCTGCAGGCCCCCCAGGAAGCGGGCTGCTTACTGCCCCAGCTGAGCTGCCTCAGCTGCAGCTGTTGGGGTGACCGATGGGGCCTGAGGGCAGCAGGGACGTCTTGGTGTCAGTTGTGAGATCCTGATTGATTTGCCCAGGAGATTTCCTGGGGAGATCATGGTGCCTCTGCAGCAGCGGGGCAATGAGGCCCCTGCCCCTCTCTGCACAGGTCAAGGAGCTGCAGGATTCCCTCTACCAGCTCGAGACGCCCGGCCAGGCCTGGAGCCCTCCTGGCTCAGCCACCACCCCGATCAGGGAAGCTGGCAGCCCTGTTGGGGAAGGGGACCCCTGGCTGCTCCAGGTGAGGTCCTGGTCCCTCTTCCCCGGACTGTGGAAGACATTCACACCCCCGCCCCCAGGAAATCTGCTCCCATCCCTGGGGCCTGCTGGGCATCCTCTGCCCTGGGGACACACTCCAGCCACGTCTCCCTCAGGCCAGACAGAGCCACAACCCAGTGGCTGGAGTCTCCTGCAGCTGCAGCGGGGGCCACATGGCTGTGGCCAGCAAGAGGTCACTCCCGTGGTGTCTCCTTTAGGGTATGGTGCTGCAGTGCGTGCCCACCCAGAGGTCTCTGGTTACCCCCCACCCACGAACCAAGATGTTCAGCCCCCCCCTGCGGCCCCTGCACCAGCTCCAGCCCTGGGCTGCACAGACCTACCTTTGCTTGCTCCACAGGACCCACTGGCCAGGGCACAGAGCCTGCTCCAGTGCTTGAAGGACCACCCGGCCATGCAGCCCCTCTGCCGCCTCCTCCCCTCTGCCCCGGAGCTCTCCAGCAGGGAGCTGGATGACCAGCTGCAGCAGCTGCGAGGGTGAGGAAGGGACCAGCCATGCCCATCGAGACCAGAAAGGGCCGAGCATGACACAGTGTGTCCACCCACCCCTCCCCTCCCCTCCCAGTGCTAGCACTCAGGGAAACTAAGGCACGAAGCAGGGGGGATTCAGCCAACAGAAGCAGGCCCAGGAGTCCTGACACGCTGCATGGGCCCTGCCCCGCTACCCAGGGCTGTTAACCCCCGGCAAGCCAGACTGGGCCCTACTGGCAGCACCTTGCGCTCCCCCAGGTGCATCGAGCGGCTCAAGGGCCTGAACCACCTGCTCGCGGGCGCCCTGCAGGAGTGCAAGAGCGACTCAGAGCGGCTGAGCATGCTGCTGGGGCAGCACGAGTCCAACAGCACCGCCTTGCGCCTGGCCGCCCAGTGCAGGTGAGGGGCCGCGCCAGGCAGGGGGAGGCGGGGGCTGCCCGGGCTGCGGAGAGGGCTCAGGCCGCGCTCGGCTTGTCCCAACAGCGAGCACCGCATGGAGGCCTTGGAGGTGCTGCTAGCCCTGGCCAGGGCGAAGCTGGATGCTGGGGGGCACGCCCCAAGTGCAGGTGAGTCCAGGCAGACGGGCTCCTCCGTCCCTGCTCCAGCCCCAGGCTGGCAGCCGGAGCAGGGCATGCCATGGGGCCCCTGTGGGCAATGCCCAGCATGTGCCCTGCCCTGGCAGCCCCCGCGGAGCATGCTTCACAAGACGCGGCCGCCGTGCTGGCGGAGGCCAGAAGGTTCCTGGGCAGAGCGGAGCCTGACGGGCAGGAGGCAGCCGGCGAACCTGGCATGTGCGGACAGCAAAGGTACCTGGGCATCAGGGCATAGCAGGGCCAGCCCCTGGGGAGCAGGATGGAGCCCCCAAGCTCCTGCAAGCAACCCCGCTCCCAGTGCCGTCTCCCTGCCTGCCTCTGCAGCCCACCCAGCCCCAGGGAGGAGGAGGAGGAGGAGGAAGAGGGGGTGCTGCGGCAGTATCTCCGGCAGCTGCAGGCGGAGCAGGCGGCCGTGGAGGTCTCCCTGCTGGAGCTGGGCTGCTCTGGGCCCCCCGGTGCCGTGACCCGGCCCAGCGACGCCATTCGGGCCAAGGTGGAGAAAGCCGTCCAGGCGTCCCTGGCTGCCCTGCCTGGGGAGAGGCCCTGGCCGAAGCTGGACAAGACGCAGCTGCTGCAGGACCTGGCAGCCCTCCAGGTGGGTGGGCAGGCGATGGGGAGCAGGGCCAGCACCATGGCAGGGGCCCCGGACTCCTGGGTTGTATTCTGGGCACAGGTGGGGGGCTAGGGCAGGAGGCCCACGGTGTGAGTGAGCCAGGACACCGGGGTTCGGCCCTTGCTTTGGGAGGGGCGTGGGGAAGGCAGCCCCTGGCGCGGAGGTGAGGGAGGCCAGGACTCCTGGGCTCTCCAGCGGGGTCAGCGCCTCCTGCCTGTGCAGGAGTCCATGGCTGACGTGAAGACCCAGCTGCACCTGGCGGAGAAGGAGAAACGGGGCCTGGAGCTGGGCACCTACACGCTCGGCGCGCAGGAGGCTGCCTACCTGCTGCTCATCGAGCATCTGCAGCGGGAGCGGGACGCGGGCTCCGGCCCCGCCAGCTCTGGCAGCAGCACCAGCGAGGGCAGCACGGGCAGCAGCGGGGCAGGGGTAAGCACCCAGCTGCTCGCACCAGGGACCACCCCCCAGTCCCAGGGGCATCCATGGCACCCTCCACCCCAGGACCCTGCAGGGATGGGGGTGCTTGCAGGCACCCGGCCCTATCTGCTGCTGGAGCCCCTGCCCAGCTCATGGTCTGTGGCTGGGCTTGCTCTAGGAGGCTGAGGGCTGGAAGGCGGCTGCCGTGGCACCCCGAAGCCCCCAGGACCTGGAGAGGATGACGCTGGAGCTGGCCAGCGCGCTGGATCGGTGAGCAGCTGCCCCCTCCACCACATTTGCTAATGCCACCCCAGGGTCCCTAGCAGCACCAGGCCTGCCACCCCCTTGTCCGAGCCCCTGCAGCACGGCTATGCTGGGCACGGCCGGGGCAGCTGAGTAAGGCGGGTCTTGGGCGTGGGCTGGGAAGCGGGAGGGATAAGGGGCAGGGGGGCTCTTCCCAGCAGGATCAGTGCCACCCTCTGGGTCACCCGGCAGGAGCAAGGTGCTGCAGGACCAAGCCCAGGTGCTGGCGGCCTCCCTGGAGCAGCTCAGCGTGGCCAGCCGGGTGCAGCAGGCCCAGTGCACCGGCCTCGCCAGAGACTTCTTCCAGGCGCACAGGTGGGGAGCGCGGCAGCATTGCCCCCTCTTCAGTCAGGAGCACCAGCCCCTCCGGCTGCAGCAGCCTCTGCCCCGCTGCCGGGGAGCCGAGGCAGCGCCCGGGCAAGGGGCATCCTCACCTGCACCTCTCCGTGCCTGGGGCAGCTCTCCAGGGTCCCTGGGAGATGGGGGCAGCTAGGAGAGTGGAGCCAGGTGTCCTGGCTTCCCATGCCTTGTCCCCTAGCCCCCCTGCCAGAGGTGTCCTGACCTCCCACTCCGCTGTGCCCCCTCTCCCCGCAGCGCACTGGTGCTGGCCTACCGGGGCGCCCGCAGGAAGCAGGAGGCCCAGCTACGGCGCCTGGAAGCCCAGACGGGCGCCATGGGCGAGCGGCAGGCACAGCAGGCACACGCGCTTGCCCAGCGCATCCGGGCTCTGGAGGAGCAGCGTGCGGCCGGCGCCGAGACCTGCATCTAGGCTGGGGGGGCCCTCTCCATGGCCACGGGGCCACCGCCTCCTCCGTGACTGCGGCGGGGTCCGCGAGATGTTGAGTTTTCGGCGTAGAAAGCCCACCCCATAGCCCTGCTCCCCAGCGCTGCAGCTGCTGATCCCCGTGGACTCCGGGCCCAGGCTGGAGAGTAAAGCCGTGCTGGAAGGCTGCTCGGGTCCTTTTGCTTCCTCCTAATGTAGTTGGACGCCGCAGGGCACGTGCCAGGGGCACCGCGCCCCCCCTTGGAGCACAGCCAGGCCCAGGGGGCCGGGGCAGATGCCCGCAGACCCCCCTACCCTAAGGGGCAGCGGGCCGTTGGCTCCTTGCACCCAGGCTGCAGAGGGGAGGTCTCTGCCCAGGGCAGGTGCTGCATTTACCCTCCCCAGATGTGGGGTGCCAGCGTGGGGCAGGGGAGGGCCCCACTGCAAACGGGTCCAGGCACACAAAGGTGCCGCGTCTGCATCTTCTCCTCCGATCCCCAGATGCAAGGGGGCTGCGGCCGCAGGGAAGCCAGCTGAGCCCAGCGGCCCAGACGGTCCCAGGGGCCTCGCGGGAGACGCAGCAGACACCAAGCGGGCCCCGCTGCATGGGCTGGCTCCCAGCCACCACCCCAGCGCTGCTGCCCATGGAGAGGTGGGTCAGGGCGGTCACTGCAGCTGCCCCTTCCTCCCCCTCCGCGACCGGCTCCAGAGCTGCTCCTGCAGTGGTGACGGGGGCTGGAGGGCAGGAGACATGACCCCCCGGTCTTGCACGGCTGCCCCCACATTGGGGGGACCTGAGAGCAAGGCTCATATGCTGGGAACAAAGACCGTCCCCCCACGGCCGCCTCCCTCCGCCCCATATCTCATGGGCGCAGGTGAAGACATTTTTCCCCCTGACAGTGGGATCAAAGGTGACTGTGGCGGGAGGGCCTCATGCATATTCATGAGAGCAGACAGGCAGGGACCCTGCTGCGGGGCGGTGGTGCTGAGAGCAGGGTGGGGGGAGGCCTGCGTGCCAGTGCGTGTATGCTTGCATGCGTGTGTGCATGCCTAGGGCCCCCCAGGGAGACCCCAAGCCCAGGGCCAGAGCTGGGGGGGATTGTTGGTGCTTCATCTCCCACAGAGAAGCCAACTCCCTGGATGCCCCCCCACCCAGGCTTGCCCTTGCTCAGAGCCCTGGAGCCAGGCTGGGGGCATCTCCCCAGCCCGGTGCACGTCCTTCTCCCAGCACCAAAGACCCGGCGGTTGAGGGTCACAATGCCGGGGTCAGGGGGCAGCTGGCCGGAAGCCCGAGCTTTGATATAGAGACACAGGAAGGGGCAGCAGGGAGGTGATCGTGTGCTGCGGACCAGGACAAGCCCCCAGCTGACCCAGTGGGGAGGGTGGATGCCCGTGTACAAGGTGTCCTGGCTGGGCCGCAGGCCTTGGCGTGCCTGCGAGGAGCGGGTCCCGCACAGGGGCCCCTGCAGGCTGCAGTGGGGCATGCATATGCAGCAGCCCGCGGCCCCAGCGCATGGCCTGACCCATTGTCTGTGCCGCCAGCCCCCTCCCCTGCCCCCATGTTGGCCCTTTCTTTTCTCTCCGCCTTCACCGCCTCCCCAGGTGGAGGTTTCCCAGGGGATGCCCCCCCTCCTGCAACAGCCGTGGCAGGGCTGACCCACAGGTTGAAGGTCAGGGCTCTGCACTCAGGCCCCCTTTCAGATTCAAATGGGGCCCCCGAGCGCGGCGAGCCGGGGTCAGGCTTCACCGAGAGCACAATGAATGGGCCGGGGCGGCTGATGCGGCTCCCAGCCGCCCCAGGCCCCTGGCCTCCCGGCGGGGGGCAGGATGGGGCAGCAGGGCGGAACAGCCCCTTGCCCTCCCGTGAGCTGCCCCCCCACGCAAACCCTGGGGGAAGTTTGTTGCCTTGCGGGAACGGCTGCCGGCACAGAGATGCGGCCACCTCTGGGGTGGGACACCACCAGCAGCATGGCGGAGCAATGGGGCAGGGCCAGCAGGGGCCATGCTGGGCTTGGCGGGTGGCTGAGCTTGCCCGCAAGCCCCAGGTCACCAAGCTCTGCTTCCTGAGCCTCACCCAGTGCTACCCCCAAGCCCTGCTGCTGCCCACTGGACCAGCCAGACCCCTTCAGCCATCCCCCAGCAGGGCCTCTGCCCTCCAGGGACCCACCCAGCTGCAGGGCCAAAGCAGCAGAGAGACCAGGTGTCCCTCCCAGGGCAAAGAGCACTGACACGTCCTAGGCCGTTTGCACGCATGGGGTGGGGTGGAGGTCACACCCAGGAGAGCACTGCCTTGGCAGCGGCATCTCGCCTTTGGTAACACCGGGCACCAGGCACAGCCCCGCCTGGGCCCTGGGCAGGGCAAGCTGGGGCAGCAGGCACAGCACTGGAGGGCAGAAGGGGAGAGAGACTGCATGTGCATGTGTGTGCACCCAAGCCTGCGGGGCTGTGTGCAAGTTGGTGACACAGTGTGAGTGTGCATATCCCAGGGACAGCTGGGCACACGAACACCCACGTTCTGCTTGGAATATGCATGCCCGTGCACGTGGCGGCCTGCTCCCTGCACACGTGTGTGCCCCTCCACAGGCTGGGAGCATGCCTGTGTGTGCATGCATGTGCGGGGGCCAGGCCAAGGCTGCAGCGCGGTGGGGAAGGTCACGGGCCCTGCCCTGGCTGAGGAATGCGATTCCTGTTGGCTCCGGCTCCGGGCAGCCTGGGACGCGCCCGCACCTGGCAGATGTCTCATGGCAACCCGGGGCTCGGAGCGCGGCCCCCCTCACCCGCGGCTGCGCTTCCGCCCAGCAAGGTCAAATGTTAAGGCGGGCGCGCGGGATGGGGAGGGCAGAGGTCACGGCTCCAGGGGGAGGGGGTGGGGGCCAGAGACATGCCAGGGGCTACGAGACCCTCCCCAGAGCATCCTGCCCCCCACCCCCAGCCCACGAGACCGCTGGGCTTGGAAGCATAACTCGAACTCGGGGCCTGAGATGCAGGGGCGGGCGGGTCCGAGTCACGACTTGCCGGAGGTGCCTAGTGTTTGCGCTCAGGAGCCCCCCGAGAAGCCAAGCAAGGGTTGGGGGGCACTTCCCATGAGCACAGACACCACAGAGAGTGCTAGGAGCAAGCAGACCCGGGAAAGGGCAAGGAATGGCCCCGTCGTGCTGCAACTAGGGCCCGCTTCATCCCCTGCCCCCCTGGCAGCAGGGTAGGGAGCAGCTGCAAGATTCCCCTGGGGCCACCATAAACCATCCGTCTCCGTGACAGGTCGGCTGCCCCTCGGCCAGCGCGGAGCAGTGCAGGGTGACCCCGTCAAGCCGCTGCTTGCAGGGAGGGTGGGAGGTGCCAGGCGGGGACTGATTTGCTGCGGGACAGCCAGGGAATGTCAAGCACTTCCCTGCTTCCCTCCCCAGCCCCAGCACTCCCCGAAGGGGCGCCGCCAGGACACCCCCGCGACAGGGGCTGAACCCCGGCAGGAAAAACCCCTTTGTGGGGCACATACCCACCAACACCAGCTGCAAGGGCCATGGAGCAGGAGCAGGAGCCGGGTCCATCCCCCCAGGAGAGAACCCTTAGGGCATGCATGCATGTGCACATGCGTGTGCACGTGTCTGCATGCATACATGGTGTGTGTGTGTGGGTGTGCACATGAGTATGGAGGCCCACGCCATGCATGAGCTGTGTGTGGGTACGCGTGTACCCATGTGTGCGAGACAGGGGTCTGAGTGATGCTGGTGCCAAGGGGGCACAGATCCCAGCCCTTCCCCTCTCCCTCCCTATCCTCCTTCCTGCTTCTTTGGCCTTGGCTGAGCGAGGGCCCCAGGGGCAGGGCACTGGAAACCTGAGCCTGAAACTGCTGGTGTCCTCTCCGTCACAGCCCAACAACTACCTCCCCTCCCGCTCCCGAGGGCAGAGCAGCCCTGGGAGCGAAGCCCAGGCCCCTTTCATTTCCCACAGCTCCAAATGCCTGAGCAGGGAGCAAGCAACACCGCCTCCCCATACACCCCCCCGGCCCAGCACAGGCAAGCTGCAGCTCTCCAGGGAGACCCCTGCCCAGCACACAGCCCCAGGGTGGAGCGAGGGCCTGCTTGCTCTGTCCCATTGCTCCGCCATGCTGCTGGCTGTGTCCCACCCCAGAGGTGGCCGCATCTCGCAGGCAAGCTGCAGCTCTCCAGGGAGACCCCTGCCCAGCACACAGCTCGGGGGGAGCAAGGATCAGTCCTGGGGGAAGGAGACAGTTTGCAAAACGCTGGCATGGCAGTGTTGCTGTTTGGGGAGGAATTGGTTGGCCTGGGGAACCCAGAGCTGAGGACCGTGCCCCAGTGCCTGGCTGCGGCTAGGCCCGTGCTGCAGGCAGGAACTGGTCTGTCCTGTTCTCTGGCCGGTGCAGGCAGGACTCCAGGTGCTTCACACCCTCAGGCATCTCTGCGCTAGAGCTTTGCACCCCTGACCTCCTCCCCCTTGGCCTGCTTGCCAGGCCTTGTCTGCTCACAAGCCGCTCATTTTATTTGGGGGGCACCTTTGTGGGTCTGGAGCAAGGGGGAGCAACCCGCTAGTGGAGATCCCGGGGGTTGGCATGCCTCCGCGCCCCGAGGAATGCGATGCCGCGGCATCTGCCCTGCCGAAGGCCTGAACAAAACAACAAGAACAACAAAAGCCCCCCTCTCCCACCCCACCCCCCGTGGCAGCCCGAGCCACTGAGCAGCCCCTTTGTGCTGCCAGGTGCCGGGGGAGAGGACTGCCTCCGCAGAGCAGCCGCCCTCGCCAACTGGACACCAATGTCAAAACAAACAGGGCGGGGGGCGCGGAGAAGATCTGATTTCTTCCTTTGTTCCAGGTTTATTATTTTTAGGAGGGGGGGGGGACGGTGGGAACCTGGGGACCGGCCCATAAATCATGCTGACAGCAGCACGGAGAAGGGGCTGCCTGCTCCTGCCATCCCAGTCCTGTCAGCAGAGAGGCTAGAGCCTGCTCCCCAAAACCCCCCTCTCCCCAACCCGCCCCCAAACGTGGCCATCTTGCCCTTGGCAAGCAAAAAGATGCCCCCCTAGGTTTTGGGGCTTTCTTGCTTTGCAGAGGGGGGTCCAGCCCTGCAGGATCAGGCGGCTCCTGTGCTCTCCGTGGGCTCCCCCCTGCCCGGGGCGGGCACTAACACGGCACCCACCTGCACCACTTCTCCGTCGCCAGGGCCCAGCTGGGCATCTGCCCCCACTAACAATTCGGGGCAGCGCAGCAAGGCCAGCTCTGCCCGGCTCCCCAGCCCCAGCAGGCTGGAGGCTACCTTAACATCTCCACCTTAAGCCCGGCGCGGCCTGCTCAGCGCTGTAGCTTGCAGGCAGCGCAGAGGCTCCCCTCTGCCCGAGCAGGTGTCTGGTTAAAAAGGAGCTTTTATTCCTGCTCGGAGCCATTGCTCAGCCGGGCGCTGGCTGCGGCCTGGGCCTGCCGTTGCACGGAGGTTGTGAAAGCCAAGGGCGCTGGCGGGGGGGGGGCTGTGCAAGCTGCTCTCTTCCTGTGCCCTTCAAGCCTGACCCTCCCCTCCGCCGGCCAGCTCAGCCGCACGTCCTGTCTGCTTCTGCTCCAGCAGCGCTAGAGGCCCCGGCTGCCAGGCAGGGCCTGCCATGCCGGGCACTGCCCAATGCCCACCTCCCTGCGGCAGAGCGGGGGGAGCACGGGAGGGGGCAGGGAGATGTGCAAGGTCACACACCCTGTGGGAAAATCCCGGCCTCTGCCGCCAAGGCCAGAGCAGCGCCCAGAGGCGACGTGGAAGGCGGTGCCACGGGGGGACCTGCTCCCCGCTCACCCCCTTCCCTTGTCGGTGATTCGCAGTTAATTATTAATGGGTCAGCAGGATGCAGAACGAGCTGCCATCCTTCACCTTGCCCCTGCTCCCGCAGGACTCGCAGCTGATTTGTTCCGAACAAGGTTTTCCTAACCAAATTAAAACCGGTGTGCGCCAGCTAATTAGCAAGCCCGTCTTTGCAGCCGGCCACCTCCATGGCTGCTCACCCGCAGCCCCACTCGCTGCGGGCAAGTCCTTGGGGGGGGACTGCTCTGCACCAGCTCCACCCTGGGCACTGTGCTGACACGGGCCTTGCCCGGCAGAGGCGCGGGCCTGGAGACTTGTGCTCCTTCTAGCCGCTGCGAGATCCCACGGGGGTTTCTTTTTCTCTTTGCACGAGGAGGGCATTGTAATCCCCGAGTCCTGGCTGCCGTCCAAGCGGGGGTAATTACTTTCTGCCTCCCTAGACCAGCTCTGCTGGAATCCTAGCGCGACGCAGCCTAGCTGCCGCTGCGAGCGAGACAGATGCCGCCTTCTGCTTCAGAGGTGGCTGCATTTCAGGGCTGGCTGCAACGATCCTGGCCCGGCTGCGGAGAGCAGCCTGGCCGCCAGGGAAGATGCAGCCATCAGCGAGAGACCCTCCAAAAGCCACCGAGCTGCTCTGCTGCGGAGGCCTGGCGTGGGCTGGCAGCTGCCCCAATGCACCGGGGGTGTTTGTGGGAACCAGTCGGGGCCAAGGCGCAGTATCGCGTCTCAGCCAAAGTGAAGCACGTTGCCGGACCCCAGCTCCAAGGCTGCTGGATCGCGACAGCCCACTCGCCACGTGGGGGAAGTGCCACGGCATCCCGCAAAGCCTGCCCGTAACGTGGCGGGTTCTGTCCTGCGGCACCAGAGGAGGCAGGAGACCCCGACCCGGCTCCTGGCCCTGCTGCAGCATCGCGGGCTAGCCACTGCCTCTGGCCCGCACCCACCTCGGCCTTCCGAGGGGTCCCAGGGACGGCTAGTGGCCCTCATGGGAGCCTGGGAACGGGGATAGCCCTGGCCACCCCCTAACCCTGAGAACGAGCCTGGGAATGGAAGATACCCCCAGCCACCCACTAGTCCTGGGATCGGAGCCTGGGAACGGGGGACCCCCCCAACGCTGGGAACGGGGGATGCCCCGGGCACCCCTTAACCCCGGGAAGGAGCCGGGAGCGGGGGATTCCCCCAGCCCGGGAAGCAGCCGGGAGCGGGGCCGCCCCGAGCGGCCGGGCCGGGCCGGGCCGGGGCTCCGGGCGG